CGCTACAATAAAAATGAATATTTTACCTAGATTGATGTTTCTTTTTCAAACTATTCCGATATTACAAAATCAAAACTTGTTTAAAGACTTAGACCAGATGACATCTAAGTTTATATTGCAAGGGAAAAGGGCACGAATAAGATTGAAAATGCTACACGGCATAAAAGAAAGAGGAGGGTTTGGTGTACCGAATTGGTTACTGTATTATAGAGCTGCAGCGTTAGTATGGATTAAAGAATGGATTACTTTAGAAGATAAGAGACTTTTAAAAATTGAGGGCCATGATTTACTGCTAGGATGGAATGCTTTTTTGTGGTATGAAAAAGCAGGCCCTCAAAAATATTTTAAGCAGCATTGGCTGAGAGCAGCATTATTAAAGGTTTGGGACCCTATACATTAAAAAAAATATACTAAAAGATCAAGACTGATTATACCTTTAGAGGCATTTACATTACCTAATGTATATGTGGGAGAAGAATCATTAAGATACCAGGACATTTTGGATAAAAAAGACAATCTGAAATTACCAGAACAATTATCCTGGTGGAAGAAAGCGCAACTGGAATCGATATATTTGAAGGATAAGAAACTAGGTTTTAATAATAAAATAACTAGTCTGAAAGAAACTGTTTTAACAGCAGAAAACAAAGTGATAAATATATAAGATTTTATTGGACGATGTGATGGTTGATGAAATGGTGAAAAAAATATGATTATATGGGCCCAGAATATAGGCCGTAATATTAATTTTGAAGAGTGGGTGCAGATTTGACGGAAAAATATAAAATTAACTAATGCTGTGTCATATAGATGGTATATTACACCAGATAGATTAGCTAAACAAAATGTTAATTGCTCTGATAAATGTTGGAAATGTAAAAATAAGACTGGTTCTTTTTATCACATGTGGTGGTTATGTGATGTTACAAAGAGGTACTGGAGATGGATTCATGAGATAATGGAAAAAATAAGAAGAACTAATATCCTGTTTACTCCAGAGATACTGTTATTGAATATATTTCCGAAAGACTTTGATAAAGCAGATAGGTATTTGATAGTTCATATGTCGACAGCTGCAAGGATAGTATATGTCAAATATTGGAAAATAATGGAAATACCAATGAAACAAGAGTACGTGAACAAGCTATTTGAAACGGCGGAAAATGACAAACTGACACTTGAGATGAGAGCCGGCACAGAATGGACTTTTCAAAAAACTTGGAAGAGATTCTATGATTGGTATAATGTAAATGTAATTGATGGATAAATGTAGTAATTTGAGAATGCAGAAAAGATAAGCTTAGTAAAATAGATAATGAATTTAGAAATTTAATAAGCAGAAGGAGTGAGAAATGTCTCTTGCTATATGTTATGTGTTGTTGGAGGTAGTTATGTGTTGTTTGTACGTATGTTTGTAGCGTATAATGAAAAAAAATAATAATAATAATAAAAGTGTACCCTCGGGTACTTAAAAAAACACATTCAAACAAGCATAGAGAAAGACAGCATCACAGTAGCATGAAACTAATTTAAAAATGCAAATGCAGATTCGACCTCTAGAAACTTATCTTGAACCACCTTAACCACTCCTCACTTCACTCTCCGTTGCCTTTTGACTGCTGACTTGCCCCCAGCACCTTCCCCTCTTTCCATCTAGTTCTGCCCCCTTCCAGAACATCAAATAAGTTCACAGTTCAGATATTTTACTCCTTCACTATGGTTAGCAACAACTTTAAAAAAAAACAGCAAAAAAAACACCACTGTTAGAATTGTGAACAAATTACATATGACACGATAATCATATTAGCAATGATAACATTTGTTGAACTAGCTTGTCCTCCCCAAGAGCAGCCATTTTTTTTTAAAAAAAGAAATCAAATGTACAAATATTACCGTCCAGAGTCTTCTTGCTGCATTTAGAAGGCAGCAGAATGTTTGGCTGTTGTTTCCTTCGACAGTGCTGGCACTGAAAGACATTACCTGAGCCGTACCTTTGCATCTTACACAACTGCAGAGGTATTTGAATGGACAGGTAATTCCTTTGCTCACTGGCTTTCACTGGCATGCTGTGTGTGACATACCAGGAATGCACGTCAACGTGTGGCTGCCAAGTTACTAGTTAGTTTTGTTAGGAACGCCCAGCTAATTTATGTGTCAGGTGTCAAACTGATAACATCTGAGTCAATGTGGTGCATAATAGTGGTATTTGAACTTTAGCTTCCTAGGATACATGAGAGTTTCCCCAGTGGGCTCCTTGGGACTGTAGCAGGTTAGGAAAATGACATAGGGGAGAAGCCTGAAGCCCCCTTGCCACCATCATCACCACACTTCTGATCCAAATCCACAGCTTATATCTGACAGTTACATGGGGTGGAATCCCTGGACCTAATCTGTGTGCTCTAACATGTGAAGCAGGTAGTACAGGAATACTACCAGTGGAAGCACTCATTTCTGTGAGACAGAGATGACAGGAAGGAGACCAGGGTCTTTATTGTAGACCGCAAATGATAGTGCCGCCTTGCCAGGGGAGACTATTATCTAAGTTTTCCCAGATCTGCAGCCCCACCCCTTAACTGCTTAGGCCTCAAAAGCAGCCGCTACTTGGAGCTATCTGTGCTGCTGCTTCCCAGGGGAGACTGTTCCACCAAGGGACGAGTTCTTCCAGCTGCTCAGCTCTACTTCTGGCTGCTGCTTCTAGTTTTATGATGGTATTGTGATTTTTAGATTGTTCTTTTTGTTCGTTTGTTTGAGTGCCAGTTTGGTGTAGCGGTTAAGAGCATGGACTCTAATATGAGAGAATCAGGTTTGATTCCCCACTCCTCCACATGCAGCTGCTGACATGTTCTTGAGGCAGTCACAAGTTCTCTCAGAACTGTTCTGGAAAGAGCAGTTTTCAAAAGAGCTCTCTCAGACACACTTCACAGGGTGTCTGTTGTGGGGAGGAGGAGGGAAACTGATTGTAAGCCACTCTGAGAATTCTTTGGATAGTGAAGGGCAGGGTATAAATCCAAACCTTGTTGTTGTTTGTTTAAACCATCTTAAATAGTAATATTTCCCAAATTTATATTCATGGAACAGGGACTATTATGAAAAATTACCTTTAAGTTAATTAAGACATATAGGAATGTCATGTGCTTGAAGGGCAAAGTTATGGAGATATATCATGACACATCAGTTCATGGCTTCTTAGTGACATGCTGAATTTCCCCCCCTTTTCATGTTGATACCCTTAGCTGTTAAGTGATGACTAATTTCACTGCATGTTTCCTCTTTCATCTCCAAAGAAGGATGTGCAATGTCTGATACATATACTTAGATTAAGGCTTCAACATTATATCAAGTCATGTGTTTAAGTTTACACAGGTTTGGTGTATTTGAAAGGCAGTTATTCTTCCAGGTCTTTGGAATTCAGAGGATTGCATCATACTTGAAATGCATACCTGCATACCTCACAACCACTGCCACGTGCATCGACCAGCCACCTCACAAATAAGCACTATGTTTATTGTAAATAACAGGCTTCCCTTTTCACATTTTAAGATACAGGCAGTCCACTTCTACTGTAACACTTCTATTCTGACATAAAAATCACTACCTGAGCCCCCTCCCACTACTACAAGTTCTGAAACAGCTGAATCTGGTTGTTCAAGTAAACAAATAATCTTTTACTTTTAAAATATAACAATAAAGGTAAAGGTTTTCCTTGCTCGAAAGCTAGTCTAGGGGGCGGTGCTCATCTCCGTTTCCAATCCGAAGAGCCAGCACTGTCTGAAGACATTTCTGTGGTCATGTGGCCGGCATGACTAAACGCCGAGGTACACGGAGCGCTGTTACCTTCCCACCTATTTAACTACTTGCAAATTCTTGCTTTTGAGCTGCTAGGTTGGCAGGAGCTGGGGCCGGAGATGGGGAGCTTGCTCTGTCACGTGGCACTAGGGTCTTGAACTGCTGAACTACAGACTTTCTTTAATGGCATAATAGATGTAGCTCTAGCATCTATTGTTTTCTAACATCCTTGTTTTCTGTCCTCTCAGGAAAAGCTCTTTTTTGTGGAAACAGCAGAAACTATCTAAGATACTGTTTGCTTACAGTAACTCTCGAAATCCAGGCAAAATCCTGGGCCTTTATGAACAAAGTAACAGAACACTTACCTCAGGCGTTCACTGAGGCCCTGCTCACACCTGTACACTTGAGATGATGATAATGATGATGCAGCAACTGACTAACGGAAGATGAGTGCACATTTAACTGAATCCAAGTGGTGCAAAAATGTAGTAGAACAGCTTAGCAAGGTTGGCTTGCAGCATTCTGCCATAAAAGTGTTATTGTTGAAAACATTCATTTAGTACATAGTCATCTAGTGCCTTAACTACTGCAACCTTCTCCTCTCTGTCCATCTGTGGAAACACGTCAGCCCTCTCGCCACTAGATAGAACTCTGCCACCAAAATCAGTCACACGTCATTGCTCAGATTATTGTCCAGCACCTCCCCGCCCCATGACCCATATCTTTTGCATTCCAGAGGCATAGGCATGGATGAATGCATCTATATTGATTTCAAAGCAGGGCTTTCTGCATCAAGGCATATATTTTTCCCAGAGCTTTCAAGAGAAAATAGCCTGACTGTCTGAATACTCCAGAGGAATGTTAAGCAAGATTCTTTTGTTGATCCTCCAAAGCTTCTGACATCCATTGCCTTGAGTAATGACCCAGGTTTGCAACACTTAGTATCTCCCCAAAGCTCTCAGAATGTCTGGGGGTTGTTGGACTTCCAGAGGAACTGCCAGCATGTGATACAGGATGCTGGACTAGATGGATCACTGGTCTGATCCAGCAGGGTTCTTATGTTCCATCACAACACAAAACTTCTCCATCATTCACTCGTAAGTAATGGACATCAGCTCGTCCCTGACCATAGTCAGCAGGTCTGAGTCACATCTGCTACCATCAGACCAATCATTTGAAACTAGATACATCTCCTGGTCTCCATTCCATCACCTTGGTATTCTTCTCTGGTACCCCTCTTCTCACAATAGAAAGTTGAAGTGTCTTATAACAGCCTGACTCCTGACCTATCTATGGGGTCTTGAATCCTAAAGGTGTACATATCACAAGCCAACCAAAATTCCACCAAAGAGTGGCCAGATCTTGTACTTTTGGGTCAATACAATCTCAGGTTCTAATTCTTCACTCAGACAGACAACCTTTATTGGCATATCAGAGATAAAAGTACATTAAAATTTAGGAATACATCAAAAATGTGGCTGTCATACAAACAAACAAACAGCAAGGAAAAAAACAACTGATCAGTTTATAGTTTCCCTGATTTGATTTGCAGATTGAAGAAAACAGGCAACATTAAAATTATAGAAGAGTTTTGCCCCGAGAGTAGCAACTGGACTTTGACACTCTCAGGGAGACCACACCATGTAAAAAGAAGAGAGTCCAGAAATTTATCCCGGGTCTTAGTATACAGTGGGCAATTTAAAAGAATGTGGGAAACAGATTCGATGGCACCCTGACTACAAGGGCATTGTCTAAGATCATAAGGAATTTTATGGCATCTTCCAGAGAAGATAGCTGATGGTAATTCTGCACTCAAGTAAATCTTCACCAACCCCTCTGACTAGTAAGCCATGGTTCAGGAAGCCTCCCTCCATCATAAGATGCCTTAGGGTACACTTCTGGGTCAATGTGATTGCAGGTCCTAATTCTGTACTTGGATCGTAAAGGTTCACCAATCCCAGGCCAACCAAAATTCCACCAATGGGTGGTCAGATCTTGAACTTCTGGGTCAATGTGATTGCAGGTCCTAATTCTGCACCAAATTCAGCCAATTTGGCACCAACTTCAGCACCCAGGTAAATACTCACTAACCCCCCTGACAGGTAAGCCATGATAGGATGCTTCAGGAAGCCTCCCTCCATCATAAGATGCCTCAAAGTGTTCACCAGAGATCCTCAACTTAAACAAAAGCCTTCACTGTTGCAGCCAATCCCAGTATGGAGTAACTAGTCTTAAACTGGCCTAATTAGAACAACAACACCTTGGTAAAGTGGCAAAGTGAAGCAGATGGAAAACAACTCTCTCAGCTAGTCTGAAAGAGTCCAGAAAATTCCTTCTTGGCCTTGAAGAAACCAGCTGTTCTAACAGTGATGGGTGTGTGGGCAGCTCCAAAGAGCAAGTATCATTATTGGAGACGAGCAAGCTTACTGGATTTGCTTCATCCTCACCCTTAATTGGAGGAAAACCTAGAACCCCCACCTAGCCCTCAAGAAAGCTCAGTGTGTTCCTTAACTGGTGTGTGTGTGTGTGTGGAAGAGATCCCAAACCACTAGGGGTGGGAGCTGAACTTCTTGTAGCTAGTTCAGTTCCAGAACCTTTTACCAACACCATGAACATGAAATAACTGGACCTTCCTCATCAAGACATGCAAAATATGTTTTTCTTTGGGTTCTGCTTTCCTTCCTGAACTTAACTTTCCATTTGTCTCTTCCTGTTTCTCACCTCTTAGCTTCTTCATTCCCTGTTCTCCACTGGTCTACTCTGCTTGTCAGCCTGCCAATCCTACAGCATACCTACATGATCAAAGCCTCCTTCCTTCCTCTGCCCACTTATTCCACAGCACCTTTGGTCCCTCTTTGGGCAATTCCTCATCTATTTTTTTAAAACCAGAGGTGCTGAACATTTCACACAAACTGTGGACTTAGCCATGGTAGACCACAAATTTCACATTGAACTTGTTTGACAGTTGATCTTACTGAGTTCAAATGTGACAATCTGATGTCAGCCAGTCTGCCAGCCAGCCAGTCACCCTGTCTGCCAGTTCCCATTGAATGACTTGATCACCTGCTAAGCAGGTTTGCATTGTTTTTTTTAAAATGCATGGGCAAAATGCTGGGAGACAAACTGCCTGGCAGCCATTAATATCATTAAGGACTACTTAGAAAAAATAGTGTATTTATTTATGACCGACATATATGATTTATGACTAATTTAAATTTCTATGGCTGCATCCTCCCAAGTGAGCCACCATTTTTACAGCATTCCCCCCCCGCCGCCACA